GCGTGCCTAACAGTAGGGTAGCAGTTTCACTCTTGCATCTTGAATTACGCTTCAGTTATGTGATATATCGATGGTCATGAAAAAATCTAACAACAGCGTGCCTAACAGTAGGGTAGCAACTCTGTCTGGATTTCTCTTCTCATTTAGAAACTCTGTTTCTTGGATGTACACGTTCAATATGCAAAAAACTATGAGTGCTTTCTAGTCTTCTGCATGCACTCTGATAATCTATAATATAATAATATACGCATTTGATGAAAAACATCTTGGTTAAATACTCCTATCTGGCTAAACTACATAAGTAGTGTTTTAAATATATTTGAGACTTTGAGTGATGTACAAATATTGTTTGATATATAACTTGCATCAGTAGCTTGAGGATCCGTATCAGTAGTGAGAACAAGTGATACAAGTCAACTTCTTTATTATTTGAATCATGCTTTTGCATTTCAAAACTTTACTAAGGCATAAATGTCTGCATAATTTGTTTGCTACTGTCACAAATGTACGTTTTACCTAACAAAGCACATGCTAATGCAAAGTTGTTTTGTTTTCAGAGTGATTATGCTGCATTACCATTAATTCATGTGTGCACTGTGACAAGATGTAATGGTGTATCATGTTCCTTTAATGTAATGAATCCAGTACTCCCAGCTCTTAAGTCGTGTTGCTGGAAATGATTACATAAAACAGAAATGACTGTGACTAAGACCCTTGCAAAGCTTTAGAACTCCTGCACATTATAAGAAGCTTTTTGGGGAGTTTAAAGTAACTTAACAGAAATTTACTGAAAGCTTCCTTTGGTGATGTTTTTACTATTTTTTGCATTCCACTGAAATTTGCATTATCTTTTAAGCATTGCAAGGGCTGTGCTATAATTTTGTGCAGATGTGTATGTTAAGTGAACATGATGTGCTTATTTGTTACATTTATGCTACTTTTCTTTCTTTATCTGGGTAAGATGGATGAAATTACGTATTAAATAAAAACATCAGTGATTTAGCCATGACCATTTTCTACAGGTCCTGTAAGACTGTGAAAATTGCTTTTAAAAGTAAGGTGGTTGCAGAAGCTTCAGAGTATCCTCTAAATCTCAAAACTAATTAAAATTTGAAATCTCTAAACCAGCTAAATTTCTCTCTGTTCTGAAAGACTCCTTGTGATTCTTGCAGTTTAATCTGAGTTGATGTGCCTCGAACATAAAATTTGCCATTCACTCAGACACTTACCATTTGAGGAAATAAAGATAGTATGTTTATAAGAATGACCTCACTTCAGAAGAAACATCTTGTATTCCCTATTTCCATTTCTGTTAACTTTTCTTTAAGTTTTCTCTTTCTAGTAGATAAACATAGCACTCAAGCTACTGCAACATGTTATTTAGTTCACATGTGCAGCCAGGAAAATACTTTAAGGCTTTCATTTTTGCACAGATCATTCTATGTTATGCAGCTGGACCTGTCATTTACAAATTGGGTAAGTGAGATGTTTCAAAGGTTGTAGTGAGAGAGTTTAACTTCACTAAGATCAAAATACATAAATTAAAGGAAAACTCTCTTTGCCCCCTGTAGTCTTAATACCAATTATATCTTTTTTTCTGATTTTTAAATAATGCTTGAAGGAAGTTGTTGGGTTGCTTTTTTAATAAGGAAACACTTAACTTTGTTCTTAGCAATGACATTTAAAAATAGAAGTGATCAATATAATGCACCACTGTTGAGTCAGAGAATTGTGCTTTATATTGATTTTTATTTGAAGTGCCCACAGGCTATGGTCATTTGACTGAAAGTGATACATTAGATAAATAACTAGATTTATCAATAATTTTTAAAACTACATCTTTAAACAATTAGAAATTGTTTTTATTTTGAAATATTTTTATGCATATGTTTTTACCCAAACCTAACCTAAAATGATTACTTTCAAAAATAGAAATACATTGCTTCTGTTAAAGATTTTCTTACATGTGTATGTTCCTGCTGGGCCTTGTTACAGTGTTGTGTTCTGCCTATAATACACCTCATAATTCTGAAACATTCTTAACCAAATGCCTGATTTTTAGAACATAAATAATTCTGCTGAGATTGGTGGGACTTCCCATGTAGTTAGACTTGAGCACGTATTTAAGCATCATCTTCAGGTGGAGCCAGATTTTTATTCTGAGCAGTAGCCAAGTTAATAGTTATTTAAATAACTGTAATTGATAACATAGGCCCCAAACTGCCACCCTTGTCTGGATGAGGAATCCTTTTTAATATCAGATACTTTCATAGGGATTTCCGGAGGGTGGGGGAGGCAGAGGAAGGAGGAGGGGGTGAGATAACATTCAGGAATAGTAATTGAATGCTCAGGCACCTGGGTTGTGTCCTGTTTTGAGCTGGGTTGTTGTTTTTTTTCAGCACCCTGCACGTATCACTGTGCCTTCTGGTTGCATTATCCACATGGTCAGAAGTTTTGTACATAGAGGGCTTTTTCTAATAGATTGGTGGCTGCTCCATGTGGTTGCACTTATTGGCAGTGAAACCCACCATGTTATCGATACACAAAGTGAAAGCGCTTCTGCGAAATCCTAACGGTGCAAAAGTGTTACTTGGGGGTACTCGAGCTGAATGTCCATTTGAAGTCAAAAAAAGCCAAGTATGTGAATGTCAGCAAACTTGTTTATAGGGGCGGGCAGTAAAGCACACATTATTTAGAAGGTTGAGTCATGAGGCTCGTTGGGTTTGTCAGGTTACATCTGGCACGTCAGTCAAAGCTGGGGCAGCTGCTGCCTGTCACTAGTGCTCTGGTGGAGCATTGTCCATCCATCAGTGTTAGCAGCCGGCAACCTCTAGGAGTTCTGTGAAGAGCACTTTGCCTGCACCTACACCCCTTTTCAGTATTATCATTGCAACCACTTTTAAAGCTTTTTTGAGACCAACAGAAAATGGTTTCATAGGTGGTCTGATATTTTTTTTTTATACGTAAGCTCTTACAAGACAAAATGTTTCAGTAGTAGTAGTGTTTTGTTGTTAGTATACAGAAAATAAAAATTTGTATTTAATATCAAAACAGATGCACATTTTTAAATAATATTTACTTTGTTTCCAGAACTCCTCAAACTACTTTGAAAAATGATGCTGTGAGTCAAAGTGTAGTCAATCAAAGCAAAATACAGGAAATCCAAAGAGCAGTATCATCCACTGAATCCTTATTCATTTTTTTTGCATACATTGTCACGTGAAAGATTTGCATGCATTATGAAAATGAATGTGAAAGTTTTATTTATCACTATTAAGTGCAAAGATATTTGTTTGAGCTAAAAAGATACTTAGTTCAACAGCAAGTTTTAACAGATGTCCTCCAATTGATGAAATTAGTGGATGTTTTGAAGTGAACATCTGCCCTGGTGCTCAAAGATAAATTTTGTGATTTACTGAAAGTCAGATATTGCTTTCATTAGGTTCCTTCAATTTGTATTTTCTCAAAAAAACCCATAATTTTGTGTTATAGTGCATGTAACTTCTTATTACTCACCACCTGGAATAATGTCAGTTGGGTTCCTCAGGTTAAAAATAATAAAACAGAAAAAAAAAAAAAAAGCCCTGAGCATCTCCTGCCAAAAGAAATACTGGCCTCAGGTTTTGATAGAAGCACAGCATGTATTTTTGAGCCTGGGAGGGAGTAGGGGGAGAAGAGGAGATAAGTACCAGGGGCTTTTGCTTTTTTATGGAGCTGGAATGTCTCCCACTGCTCTCAAGTGCAGGACGTGAACCTATAGGTCAGCACTTCTCTTGCGGCTTTTTGTTTACACCTGTTGTGAAGTAGGATAAAGACAGGAAGGAGGGATCTCTTTTAGGAATTTGGAAGGAACTTTTCTGGAAGACAGGGACCATAATTCTACCTGTCTGCTGTGGTGGAGAACACACACAAAAAAATGTGCCTCCCTCTAACAATTAGGGACACGATAAAGCCAGGGTAGAAGAGGCTTATTTGTGGTGAGATGGAGGACAGAGAACCGAAGGGTTTACTAAGAAAAGAACAAGTTGTTCTATTTAGTACAGTGTGGCTCAGCTGAGAGCTCCATCCTCATTTTCATTGATTTATATCAATTTACGACCTGGTTTGCACTTTTAAGTCCTTTTGTAAAATAAGGACACTTATTCAGTGGTAAACAAACATTGTCTAAGGCATCACTACTGCTACTGAGTAGCATCTGTATGTGAGTTTTTGTCATCTATTCTCTGCACTTTATGCCAGCATTGCTGAACTAAATACCTCAGTGAATGTAGTTTTATTTTTTTATTTTAAAAAAGAGATCACAGATCAAGACATATTTATTTGAAAGTATTTTTCAGCCTTTTTAGATGCCAGTCCAAATTTGTCTCAATCTTGCAAAGTGTATGTATGTCACAATAGGGAAGGATTTAAGGATGTTTGTTTTGTTTAACTACTTTGACTTGATTTCCTAGTTTCTGAAAAGATAATAGTTATCAATCATGAAGTTCATAAACAAGAAAAGTATTTTATGTAGTTTTAATTAAATTTGGTTAAAGACTCGTCATATTAATGTTTCAAATGTTCAATGTTGTTTTACTAAATTGCCATTCATTTTAATTGAAACGAGCATGACAAAAAAAAAATTATAGTATTATAGGACTCATTTCTAGGAAACTTTCATGGTAAAAGACATCTTTAAGTCATAATCAGATTTGGTTTTAGCATGAGATGAAATCATCAGTGTGAGAAGTTATTTACATTTTGAAATTTTGCTTTAGTTTTCTAATGTATTCCAGGTGATTCATGTATACAGATAGACTAAATTTTCTTTTGTCTCTGATCAGTTATCAGTTGAGAGAATATGCACTTGGAAAACTGTTCACTGTTAATTTTTTTTTTAATCAGAAGTTTTGTTCACACATCAGTGCAAAAGTAATTAAAACCTCTAAATATAGCTAAAGTTCAGTTCCTACTAAAGGATGTTAAAAATCTCTCTATATCTCGTTGTTTGAACTGCCCAGGTTTTTATCTTTAATTGGAGGAAATGTAAATGACATAGGAAAATCAGATATGCAGCAAAAAGTAAATGCAGTAATTCAAAAGGAAGGACTGGAGGGCACAGCCAAAATGCTAAATACAACGGTGCACACACTGCAGCTGATCATTGATGGTCTGACTCAGCCTGAAGGGTTTGACATCCGAACAGGTAAACATTTGTTTTGAAGGTTGTACTCACTTTGATTGTTCTACGTACCAGTTTTAAAACAGCATATTTGCTTCTTCTAAAGTCAGTAGGAGATTTTCATGGAACTCCATCTGTTTTCTCAGGCAAGATAAAGGCTGTATCATAGTCAGACATTTCTTTCCAGCTCAGCAGGTAAGGAGTGTGAATCCTGTCTTAAATCATGGCATTTTCAGTCATAGGAAGGGGAGTTTATGGCTGTTAACAAATGAAATAGTTTCAATATGTTGACTCTATACTGATTAAATCTGTATTTAATCCATGGAGGTGAATGCTGAGACCAAGCTGAAAGAGCAGTAATAAAGGTCTGTGGAGCAGTAATATAGTAGAGCGTAGTTCTGCACTTTTATTGTACTAGTTCACAGAGACAAGTGTAATTGAAGCATATGGCTCATGACCTACCTTGGTTAAAACTTTGTGATGGTGCTGAACAGTTTGACGTGGGGGGAAGAAAGATGAGGTAAGCAATGAAGTAAAACATCTGGAGATGCTGTTTACTGAAACTTAGATCTGGATTCTCTTACAACAAGAAGAGATAAAGGTAGGTAGCAAAGATGCAGGCTTGTAATAACAAATAGTAAGCAATAAACTTATGCTTAAAAAACCCAGACATTTATTTTTTCCTTCTTTTGGGGTTCACAAGTAGTTTCCTTGCAGATATTGTAAATATTTTCCACTAGAAAAATGTGTATTTTCTACATCTCAATTTGTTCTTATGGTCTCACATCTAAATTACAGTAGGAAGGACTTAACATATGCAGATATAAAACCAAAAGAGAATCTTCAGTGGAAGTACTCATATTCTGCTGGTCCAATACACTCAATATTACTGTAGGCAGCATAGTAGCCTTGTATAGCTGTAATTCATTGTCTTTGCAACCCTGCTTGCGTCTGTCAGTGTTGACATGTATCACATCCAACACACATGTATCACATCAGGCAGATTGAATGATTTGTACTCTACCCTGATTCAAAAAATACTCTTGTTTTAAGATTAGATTCCAGCAAGACTGTTGTTCCCAACAGTACAGATGCAATGTTAGGGAAATACAGACAAAGAGTAGCTTTCACAGATACCCTCTTACATTTAATTTAAATTCTTTGTCATTGATTTTTCCTGAATTATTTCAGTACAAATGAAAATAGGAAGAATCATTCTGGGAAAGAGGAAAAGTAGAATATTTTAATCATATTATTTTGAAAACCTTTTTTCTAGCCAAGGTCTTGCAAGGCATCTCTTGCAAGAAATTGTCTTTTTAACATTAAAGTTGAACAGTCAGTAAGGTAACTGATGAATCTGCAAGGATCAGGGGTAAGGGAAAACCAGGTTTGCAAGTATCTAAAAAGATTCCCATCTTTACTCTGAGTCATGTGTTTCGGTGCTTTTTTTCATGGAAGTGCCACCAGACAATATAGTGTTACAAAAGGATTAACCATTTTGGACCTGAGCAATTAGGTGCATTCCTTCAGTAGAAAATGTCATGTCATTCAAATCCTATTTCTGCATTTGCCAGCTTGTGTATTCAAGTGGGGTCTGATCCACAACCTGATGAAGTTACAGACTGATTGATTTTCAAGTGAATTTTAGCTATAAACTTGTTCAGGCTGTATTTTATTTCTTAAAGGCAACTATAGGAAAATGTTTGCAATCCTTATTTGGTGATACTCTCTGGAAAATCTCAATACTATTGTATTTTGGAAAAAAATAAAACAGCACTAGGTTGAAAGTGAAGTTGTTGACATGGACCAGCAGGGTTTTTCTGCAGGAGCAGAAAGTAATAAGCAAGTAACAAGAGAGTTTAAAAGATCTATCTGTGTGCTTAAATGCCAAATGTAACTTTTAATATATTGGGATACTACTTGCTTATAATCATACGTGTGTGATTATTAAGTTGTCAGTTCAAACGAGCAGTTGATTCTGTGATGTCATGGGAAACAGTTGACTGTGAAGTCAGGGTGCAAATGAACACCAAGCTGCAGAACAGTGCATTGTTGACTTTTCTCTTTAGTAAATGATGAGACTGAGTATTCACCTTGCTGTGTACAATTTGTATAGAAATAGAATTTTATGTGTAATTTGTGTAGCTTAAGTAAGTCTCACCTCAATTCTTTTCTCCCCAGCTCCATGAAACTTTAAAGAATCTTTCAGTCACTAGTTCTCATACTACACACTTCTGATCTCCTTGTGCAAGTTTCATGCCATGGAGTTCACTATTCCTATTGCTTTATTAATCATAGTCATTGAAAGTGATTCATACAATACAAGACATCAGTTATTTATCACAGATGAGTCTTTATTTTAAAAAAATGTAATGAAAGCAGTATTTGGGGCCTTAGAGCTACCGTGGGATGACTTCTTCATTAGAAACAATCAGCGGGAAACAACCCTTAGAAAATAATGCAAGCTTTTTTTCCAGTGTCTTTCTTATTTTTATTTCTTGTTTCTTATAACAGATTTTGATAAACCTGACTTCAAGAGAAGCATTGTTTGCTTTGAAGACTTAAGTGTTGGTGCTGTTCTGACTGGAAAAGTGGAAAATGCAACACCATTTGGAGTTTTTGTTGACGTTGGTGTGGGAAAAGCAGGTTTGATTCCAGTGCGAAATATAACAGAAGCAAAATTATCTAAATTGAAGAAGAGAAGAAGTCTAGGATTAGGTCCTGGAGAAAGAGTAGAAGTTAAGGTGCTTAATGTTGATATTCCTCGATTGAGGATAACATTGGATCTTATTCGTGTTTTATGAGAGATTTTTTTTTATGATTGAGCCTTCATTTCAAAGGTTAAGTAATGTCAGCAAGGTTCTGGAATTTCAGGCATTTAATGAGTGTGGAAAATGAACAACTTTTGAAACCTTCAGCCTTGCTTTTTCTTTTATTTTTTTTTTTTTAATGTAACAGTTTTTCCACATTTCTTGAATCCTTTCTCTTAACAATTGTTGGAACAGTTTATTGGATTACCTCCAAACAACCTTGTTATTTTGTCTGCAGAGCAAATGAAATTCCAGGGGACTGTCAGACAGATCTCTTATCTGTTCTGTCTGTGCAAGATTTGCTGTCTCAGTCTTTAGTTGGTACTGCAGAACCAATCATGTCTATGGCTCCCCTTCAAAAAACAGCTATTCAGTTTCCTGGTTTTCTGTTTTAGAGTCTGAGAGAAAGTAACTAGTTGTAGAAAAAAGTGATCTTAAGTTAGTCAGTGATTATATCGCTTCAAAAGTAGACTGTAAAAAGAGTGTCTGCTAATACTATTGATGGTTCAGAGATATTCAGCTTTAACTTATTTGAGAGACAGTATTAGGAGGTCTGTTTACCTGTCTTATTATTGTTTGTTCAGTTATTGGATAACACTTGGATGTATGTTGGAGTTCAAGGAACTTTGCTCAAAGGTGTTAAGACATTTACGTTGTTCTACGCTTGTGCAAAATAAAAACATTTCTGGCCATCTTTTCTTGGTGTACTCACTCTACAAGTGATTTTACAGTCCTAGTTGTCTTTCTTTCCAACATGTTCTCCATCAGTAACACTTCAACTTAAGGACGCATCTTGTGATGATGCACTTACCTAAGCTTCTGAATGGTATGTATTTTCCTGAGCTTTAGTCCCGGACTACAGCCCATGGCCTGATATTGTTCCTGATTTAATAAAATAGTTCTAGTCTGTCTTGACCTCCTTCAACTTGACAGTAATTTATTTTTTTTTCCATCTTTAGTATAATGATTTTTTCTGCCTGTTTCGAGTGGAGAACATTTTTTCAACACTTTTCTCCACACACTATGCTCATGAAGGCATGATTCTCTATTAAAAGCTTCTTGGTGTTTGTAGATGTTTGCAAAGCTTTTCTAGACTTCTGCTTTAAGAGTGCTTATTGTTTCCTGCTAGGAGTACCTAGCTCATGAGGTTTATTTCTTCCACCTAGAGACATTTTGTTTTGGAGGTGTTTCAAAGAGTTTAACAATTTGGCAAAGGAAAGGCAATGGTATAGTGGCAGAAGACTTTCCAGCAACAGCAGATGTATGTGGCCTTTCCAGGAAATTTTTGGTGTATTGGACATTTATTCCTCTGAAGTCATCAAACTTACAGGCAAGTTGGCAGAAGCTCCTGTCTTTAAGGATAACCACAGACAACATCTATGGTGAGCGTTGGACATCTTTGATAACAACATTTCTAACTACAAATGTCCAAATAGCTGTTGACATGGGGACTATGCAGTAGATAGGAAAAGGCTGGCATCATTTAATCTCCCAGCTCTGTGCTTTAATTTTCAAAATTAAGAGCTAGCTGTAAACAGTGTACTTTGGAGATTTAAATAATCATTTAGCAGATGGAAAAAAGATGGGTCTTACTAGTTTCACTACATTTTGTCTAACAAGAAAAAAGACCATTATGATGGTAAGTACAGCTTGCAATCATATTTCTCAGGTCTTTTGAAATTTCCATCAATAGATTCTCTTAAGTTCTGCTGAGCTTTATTTAAGATCTCTACAGTATCTAAGCACTCAGAAAATGAACTTTTTTTTTTTTCCTTTTCTAAGAAGTAGATAAATCTGATCTTCTCCTGAAGCTTATTTAAATGGCTAAAATTAAGTGTACTTTCTCTTTTTGTAATATTTTTTAAAATGCTTAATGTCTTGAGGACTGTAGCATGCTCTGCATTTTTGTGTATATCTCGTGGATGATCATAAAGTTCCCCAAATGAAACACATCTCCTGGAGATTCTTTCTCACTCTTAATTCACATCTACTTAATGGTGATGGCTCCAAGATTTAAAAAAAACAGAAAAACCTACTTCATCCTGATCTTACTTAAATGCTTCAAATAGAGTTTCTCAGGAAAATAATAAAATATGAGTCTTTAAATCTCACTAAAATTTTTACTTTTGCTTTAAGCCGTTGATTCCAAGGCATCTACTAACAGTTCCACCTCTCCATAAGGGAATCCAGGCCATTGATCTTAGCTGACAATCTGCCTTTTTAGTTCCACCCTCACTCAAACAGTGTGGTATTTTGCAATCACCTTCCTCCGATATACAGACCCATAAGAAGAGCTTCTAAAGATTTCCTGTGCTTTAGATGTTACACAAAGCAGAAGAATTCTGCCAAACAAGATGGCACTTGTATGCCTGACTGTAGTAATGCAAATCGAGAGTTTAAAAGAAGCCATTTGTTTTGGTTTTATTCATGCCTCAGGCAGTTTTAGACAGCGTATATCAATTTTCCAGAAACTTGTCAACCTCAGGAATGATTTAGTATGCTGTTAAACATAATAAAATCAATAGGAAAACAAATAGAATTTCCATGGGGAGCAGACAGTTGGAGAAGCTTGTCCATATGGCACATAGGCATGCTGGAATTTGGGATTTTGTGGGGTACTTGTGTTAGAAAAATTGCGTACTGAGTGAAAGTAATGCATAATTCAGGAGAACAAATAATCCAACAGCTTTGTGGTAGTGCATCTTGAACTTGGTGTCTGTATTTATTTAACAACAATTACACTTAGAAACTCTATGCCTGGAAGCTACAAACCAAACATGAATCATATTTACCTCATTTCAGAGCTTTATGTAAGGAGGGTTACCCGCTCTGAAGCAAATGCTGAGTTCATGGTTCAGCCTAAATAGCACCTTTGCTTTTCTAGCTTTCCTGGGGGTAATTTATGCAGCTACTTGGATTTTCTTAAGGACATCCAGCTTCAAGACTCTTAGTCCTGTAAGAAGGGTGAGGAACCAGTTGGCTATGCCAGTCCCTGTTTACTCCATGTCACTCCCTTTTGTTCAACGTTGCCTTGAGAACTTTGAAGGAGTTGTTGTGTCTCTGGATATGTGTAAAAGCTAGGCAAGTCACTAATTCCACTCCCCTCATTAGAGGCCGTCTATAGGTTTGAGAGCACATGGGTTTCTGGTTCCAACTGTTCTTCAACCTCCTTGTGGGCATGGAGAGGCTGTAAGTGCTTAGAAGTGTTTTATCTTGATGAATTCTTGTGAAACCATGCTCCATAGAGCTTCACAAGTAACGTGTCTGTTTCTTACAGCAAACCTCAGCGACTAGCTTTTAGAGAAGTTTGGTTCCTTGTTTCCAGTAACTGTATGCTGGCTACAGCTACCTCCTGCCAGGAGGCTATTGGAGAATGCTGCTTATTCAGAGGTGTCTTTAGGAGCTGACCAGTTGCTTCCATCTAATAATCCATGTTGGAACTTTAACTAGTTGGGTGTTTTTCCAGGTGGACATAAATGAGTCACTCATGACAGGTCATCCTGGTCTCATGAAGCTTTTCTGTAAGTGATGGCAATTTCTTGACAGACAGAGTTGAATAGCACATCATAAGAATTCTCTGTATTGCACCACAGACTTCACTATAGTGTCTGCAACTGTTAAAATTCTTGTCTGAGAGGCCTCGGTGCTGGAGTATTACTTCTGTGTGAGCTTGTCCAACAAAGTGGGCTGCTGTTAATCAGTCTGCTGGTTTTCATGCTGTTCTTATAGCTGTTAGCTCTCCCCTGGGCATGTTTCTAGCTGCATCAAGCATTCTAAGAGTTTCTCTGTTTATTTGAATTGAGAGAAGACTGGTGGCCATTATCAGAGTGGGATGACTCTCTCATCCAGCTGAGAATTTTAAATCCAGTTGGAAGTTGAGGGTAAAGCACTCAAATATCATTTCACCCACTCTGTCCCTGACTAGGAGCTAACAAGCTTTTGAGATGGAACTGCTTAGTGCTTGTTTCACTTGTTAGGGCTTTTACCTGATTCGGCTTCTTCTTGAATTGAAGAAGATTAAGGCATACTCCACACAAGTCCAATTAATATTATTGGAAATATGTTTTGTTTGTCTCCCTCTGTTGTTCTTCACAAGGAGCAACAAGGAGGGAACACTTAGTAAACTGAGCCACATGATTTCTTTAGCTTTATAAGATCTGGTGGAGAAGTTGGTTTTCTTCAGCAAGTAATCAGGAGGCCACCACCTCAGAAAAGTTAATCAAAGTGTTATCTTCTCCATATCTTACAGATCCAATTATTCTACTATGCTTGTATGTTACTGAATCAAAACTTTTTTTCAGTATGCAATCAGCTAATCTGGAGTTTTGCATTTTCATATCTCATCATCAGTCATGTTTCTAGCAAAGGCTATGCCTTTATTTGTGGTCAGTGAACTTTTGTGTGTGTGACTCATGATGAGGTATGTGGGAATAATGTCATGAGAAGAACTATTGTACTTGGGGGTCATTTACAAAGCCTGAATAGAAGTGAAACCTTAGGAAAGTATTTTCACCTCACAATTTAATGTGTGGAATAGCTTGGCAGAGAGCAAAAACTGCCACATACCAGAGGCTGTATATTGGCACTGTGACTGCTTTTTGTGTGTGTGTGTGGTGAGGAGAGAGGGATTTAGGAAGGGGAAAATGGAGGGATTTGGAGAACAACATCCTGGAGATGTAAATGGTCTTATGTTAACGAAGTAAGATGATGAAATGCAAATGGTAGTAGCATAATGGTTATGTAGTAATGGAATCTGAGCCTAGTTATTTCTTACTCCCTGTACCTCACATGAAGGTAAAAAGAGTAATTATAAGTATTTGTTATAGCTAAAGAAAATTGTGTATCTCACAGCAGTGCATATTGTCACTAAAGAGTAGTATGGAACTGTTTGGCTTCAAGTGGGAGAAACACAATGTGCTGTTAATTGATTTGCTTCTCATTTCCCAATGTTGCTGTTTCTAACTAGTTTATGATGAGTAGATCAATCCTTGCACATC